CGTCATCAGGAGATAGATTTTATAGAGGATTAAAGAAGAGAGATATAAAAACCACCTAATGGGAAGCCACCAGAGGTAAAACACCACTGGTCTAATTGTGCGAATACTTGGCCAGCACAATTAACACCACAATCCCAAGCATATGAAATGCAACTGAAACCACTCATGGTGGTTTTTTCCTAAGCAATCGCCAGAATTTAAAAGAATGATGTAACTCATTAACAAGTACAGAAAATAAGTTCAGCCTGGCATTTCTCAGATAGCTGGGTAAAACCCGTCAGTAAAAGCATTTTCAAAAGCTGTTTTTTATATGACATGAAAGCTTGTTACTGAGAAGAAACACGGCAGCAAAATATCCTATATGGATTATGATGTCACTAATTTTACCAAGTATTGAGGTTCTGGGTCTATTTTCAAGATGTGCAAGTCATATAAGGAAGTACTTTCACCTCTGAATTTTGGTGTTGGAGAAGACTCTGAGAAGACCATGGACAGCCAAGAAAACAAACTGATGGATCATCAAACAGATCAACCCAGAGTTCTCACTCAAGGTACAAATGACCAGGCTCAAATTATCCTACTTCAGACACATTATGCCAAGACCCAGCTCTCTGGAGAAGGCTCTAATGCTGGGAAATGTGGAAGGAAAGAGAAGAAGAGGATGACCAGCAGCAAGGTGGAGGGACTCAGTTACAATGGTGATTGCCCCTTTTAAAACAACGAGATTGTTTGCACCATTTGAAGAGCTGAAGGACCAGGTTGGAGACAGACTGTCATGGAGAAAATCTATCTGTGTGGTTGTTAGGAGTCAAAAATGAGTTGATGGCCCATAATCAATCAATCAATCAATCAATCAATCAATCAATCAATTTGAAATGTGCAGGACACCAACTTCCCTCAAATTTCCTAGAGCAGAGTTGGATAGAACTTTCTTGTCCAGAATCTTTTTTTTTTAAAGCTAGAACTTAAACTGCCTTCAACCAAACACAGGTGCAAAACAGGAGCTTGGGAGCAGAGGAACAAAATGACCCATTAGTATAGTGTTTCTCAACCTCGGCAACTTTAAGATGTGTGGACTTCAACTCCCAGAACTCTGG